TTTCCAAGATTTTAGCCAGGAGTCTTGTGGGAATCTTGGCTCTTGGATCTTAGTTTTGATCAAGAATGCATTCTGAATGCATTGAACGCATTCTGAATGCATTCCTTCCAAAGTGGACTAACAAGTCATGCAACCTACGTGCACCAAAAAAAATATATATATATATATGGTACCCCCAAAAAACTAAGGACCAAAAGGCAACCAAAAATAGACACAAAATATTGCAAATACCAGCAAAAGTGAGGTGAACATAGGTTTTGGGGGGGGGGTACCATATATATATATATGTGTGTGTGTGTGTACACATATATGTATCCCCACGAAAGCCTGCCGATAGCCTCGCCCATGGGCCCCCCACAGCCATCTTTGCGCATTGCTTGGCAACACGCAGCAGGCAAGCGCCCCTCACTTCCTTAGGGGTGCCCTTTTTCACCTCCAAAACACCCTTAAACCAGGACGAACAAGGGCCCCCCCCAAACCTATGTATTTTACTGTCTATCTCTACCCCCTCTCTTTGCCCGGTGTTAGCCAAGCATTTGCATTTGATCTTGCACGCCAAGTCTCTGAGTCCATCTACAGGACATCTTTACCCCCTGAGTTCCTTACAGGTGCCTTTTTCAGCTTCAAAACGCCCTTGAATCGAGCGAAGAAAGGGCATCCCCCTAACCCATGCATTCTGCTTTCTATTTCCAACAGCAGTAGCATCATGCTATGTCGACATCCCCCCATAACCAACAATCTCTCCTCCGACCTCGCGTGATCTCAGCAGTAACCTTTTCTCGGTCCACTCTTAACAACACACCGACTTTATGAGTCTATCTACAACACAAGACAAAGCAACGGCACACCAAAACCCTCCGTTACTTAGGGGTGCCCTTTTATTTTCACAACGCCCCTTGAGTAACAAGAGGAGGGGCACCCCACTCCCCCACCTTTACTACGACTCTCCACCTCTGCCTTTTATTTCCCCATTCTTGACACTGTTCCAGTGCGCTCTCGACTTCACCCCCCATTGCCATGTTGATGTCTTCTTACAAAGGCTGGCTTTCGTCCCCTCCCTTCTCAAGTATATATATATATAATATATATAGAAGTGTGTGTGTGTGTTCAATGCAGTTTCAACTCGATATTGGATATTGTTCATCAGACGGCCCGTGACCGCAGGAGAGCGGGCTCGGGGTTTCCTGTCAGCGTTGGGACTGGGCTGATCCAGTGCCCTTCGAGTGCCGCGGTGCCTCCACAGTGATTGCAACCGATGTCGTGTACAGCGCCACGGCAAGTTTGTAGCCTGCAGGGCCCTTGTGTGTTTTTTGATTATAGGGAAACCTCCTTTGGTTTGGTTTTCCTTCTCAGTTGATTTGTCGTTTTGCCTGAGGCTCTTGAGGGTTCTCCCTCTCCCAATGCACGCCCCCGATCATCGCCTGTGTTCAGACCAGATGGCCTGTTGATGTTGGACCCTGCTGAGGCGAAGATGTCTCTGCATTGCTGAAGGCTCTTGAAGGGCTCGCTGCACCTGGTTGTGTAGTGCTGCTTGTGGCAAAAATCCGGAGCTCCTTGGACAGAGGTCGATTCACAGTGGCTGAGGTCCAGATAGAATTTGATTGTTAAAGGTCCTTTAGGATCCTTGATTGTACAGTGCTTGAAGCATTTTCAGGATGAGGACCCAATGTCACATGCTTTGATCAGAGGCCCTGCTTCTTTGGCTGGACTCCGCTCGTTGCTGCTTGGGGCAAGTCACGTTTTCAAGGCATGGTGAGAGAACGGATATTCACTGTCCTGAGTCCTTCAAAGTGCATGTTCAAAGATGGTCTTGCAGCGACGACACCAGAACGTGGGTGAGTGCAGGAGTGCGCCCCGATCTCTTTGCAGCCTGCAGCACAGGCGACACTACAGCAGGCTACAAAGGACACTCTCAGACTGCTTTTCGGAAGTGTGCCGCGTTGATTTGCACAGAAGAATCGGGGAGGATTCCGTACATGTGTGAAAAAGGGTTGTGAAGGGAACTGCACTGGCGCAGAGATTTGACATGATTTGACAGAGATTTGGCATTTTTTCGTGAAAGAGCGGTCGAACGCTCGGTACTTGAGGGTCGACACTCGATTTTGGTGCTACTCTGATAAATCGACCCCACTGGATACATATGTTTCAACATTCCGGAATTGCATCTTTCTGAGGGGGCCATCGATTAAGATCCAACGTTCAGTAGATGTGTTAATTACAGTATTTGGTCCCGTATTCGTACGCATTCTATAGTTTTCCGCACGCATTCTATAGTTCTCCGCATGTCAGGGTGTAATAAGCTTAAAGTAGGATGAGAAGTGAGTTGTGCAGGATGGATAAACAGGTGGGCTCAAGCTCAAACAAATCAAATCACATTGTAAAGTCAGTATAGGTTTCTCGAAAGTATATGCTGATTGATTGTGATTCCTGCCCTTAAGGACTTCCCCTTGCCCGATGCGGACAAGGGTGTTTACTTCTACAAGCTGGTCAGGTAGCTGAATATCTTTGACTGCAAAGGACATTTTAAGAGTGTTTTTCATGAAAAGCTTGAAACGTCCGATCAAACTAAGAATCTCAAAGCTCCTCAACTAATGTGAAGTTGTGCCACGCGTCCACTCTCGTTTGACACAATCTATTCAAGGCTGATCGAGTCAACTGGACTCACTCGCATCCGTGCGGAATTTTAACGCTCGGGCAAACATGTTCCACACAGCTCGGGCATTGTACAGTGACCGACCCTGAAAGGGGCATCCTCTGCTGCCTTGGCTCTCAGCTTTGGGAAATGTCGTTCGTAGCTTCAACTTGATCACAGAATGTGCATCCAAATGATTCACATGTTGTTCTGGAGTTCAGTTTGAGAAGATTCTTGTTGGCAATGAAAGGCAAAGCCAGACTTCCAACTGCCAGGCGTTTGGTCTCGAATTTAGTTCTGCTTCGCAGCAGCCTGTTAGCTGCAAAGACGGTATTAGCATCGATCGAAAAAGGGTCCAACATTTTGTGGCTTCACTTGACTTAAGAGCAGTACAACATAGTACAACAGTATAACTATGAGTGAGATGATGTCCCTGATCACTCGTGGACTTCTTGCCAGTTTGCATGGTGCAATTCAGCTATACCCATGACTCGCAGGCAACGAGGTAGCCGTCCTCAAGCGCGCTGTAGGATGTTCGAAGAGCATGTTGCGAAAGCCGCAAAAAGGTGCTCCGGCTCTTCACAAGAACTGTCGTCACTTGCTTGATGGGTGTGCTCACAAGGTCCCTTGATTTGTTTCCGCAGCAAGGGGATCAGTCCGTGGCCGCCATGGTAGCAGTCTGGTCTTCAACCCAGGCGCTCAGATCGTCTCAGAGAATCCGAGCTTGGAAAAAATCATTGACTGACCATGTGCAGGCAAAGGCGTCTTCCAACAGGCACACCGTGCACAGGCGCACCGAGTTGGAGCTCAGCCCTTAGGAATCCAAGATTCTCTAATTTGGGCATGGGCGGATGAACCTTGCCCAGAATGCAAAGACTCCTTCACTGCGCTAGATAATTTATACCAGGAGCATCCATGAGCACTGTGCTGTGAGGCTTGACCTTTTATGCCGTTTGCCGCCCATGCAGCTCATGCTTGTCAGCTGTGCTGTGGTCCATGGCTTGAGGCAGCGTTTTCCCAGGAGTGTGTTCTAGTCAGTGTGCTGCGTTGGCGATCATGTTCCTGCAGTGAATTCGATTCACTACTTTTGTCCAAGAGTTTCTCATCTCCTTTGTCATGCAGGTTGAGCAGACTGAACTGACTGGAGCTGTCCTTGTGGCTTTGAGCAAAAGGAATCCAAGTCCTACGGACCAAACTGGGTGATTCTCTGAAGAACGACCGCGGTGCTCCTCAGTAACAAGTGTCCAGTGTCCAGTAGCCAGAACGTTTCATGGTGCGGCCGTGCGTGAAAAGATTCATTTGAGGTCTTGTCCAGTGTCGTTAGAGGTATGAAGGATTATGTCGAAGATTGCAGCGTCCTACCGTCGTAAAGGCTAGTTTCCGAATGACACGCAAAGAAGCAGGTGTTAAAGCCTGCTGACGTGATTGATACAACTCTAATTTGCATGTCGGGGTCTTTGATCCTTGTACTTAGATCTTTAAAGAGAGAAAAAAGAAAGGCTTTCAATCCACCCCTGCCCCCAGTTGTGCTATTCTCACATCGCTCTTGTGCCGAGCACAGTGGCTTCACTGAGCTGCTTAGTTTGGGGAAAGCACTGTAAGCACCGGTGCTTGAGACTGTGATGTTTCAGTGCACGCGGCACGCAGGCACGTGCACCTGGGTGCTCGCCGAAACCAGGGCGTTTCTGTTTGGGGAAGGTCATGAGATGTCACTTTTCTCGGGACCTTTGCCAAGGCGACAGGTCATGACAAGTGTCATGACATGTCTTACATCCAAGGCGACCATAAGCGACATGGCGACGAGGTTTCTCAGTGGAACCGGCCGCAGGCGCAGTTGAAATTGAAGCACCGAGGTCCTGACAGGACAGAGTCTGTTATCAAGCAGGCAGCAGGCATAGATGCACATAGCAAGACTCTGACGAACGGGTGACAGGTGGCATGAGGCTACCCCTTTTTCTCACTCTCGTTTGTTTTGCACCCTTGTGGAAATGCCATGTTTCTGAGGGTCCGTGCACTGATTACACAAACACACCAGGTTGTAGCTCAAGCCAATTGACTTGATAGTTGGAGACATGCAGATTGTGCATTGAGCTTCAGAGGGACTTGCAAAGTGCCAGTGTTCAACACACACTGCGCCTTCCTCACAAAGGCAGCTGGAGCGTTCATTGCGTCCAACTTTGCTTCACATGTTTCGTTTGCTTGCTCACAACAGTTCTGCTATGTTCAATAGCTTTGTCGCGCACTCCTCATGTTGGACAAGGTCTTTGCGTGAGAGAATTGCACACCTGAGCTCTCAAGAGCTCCAGCTTCATGGGCTGTTCAGTCTAGAGCCATTCAAGATCTCAATGGTGTTTTCCAGACCAGTAGCCCACATCCAGAGATGCCTTGGGCAGGTTGGTTTCGGGGTGGAGCACAGGCGCTCGAGGTAGAAATGTTTGGAACTTGCGTAGTCACTTCTTTACTCTCAGGAGGCACCGAACACATTGGACAGGATGTTCCTTGAGAAGGTACATGGATCATAGCTCGGTGACAGCCTTCTCCACAGCTTGCCTTGGTCGCTGATTTGTCACAATGTGGCTCATCGCAGCTACCAATCAATGGCCATGTTGATGTTGACTCATTCACAGTGAAAGGTGAGGCTGCAGTGGAACGTCAGTAGAACCTGTTGCACTACAGCATACCAAGGAAGGAATGTTTTGCGCAAGGTCCATAGCATGTACTGCTTGACTCAGTTCCGAACTTTGGTTATAGTTGTTGGCCATGTGTTAATTACATGCATGCTGCTGGCACACCAACAGGTTTGTTTTTCCCTGAGAAGCTATCAGTGCACGCTGACAGGATATGTGCAATGAACTTTATGCGAGCGTCACCCAGCACCCCGACCTCAAGTCTTTCTGCTAAAAGATGGGAACATTTGGCAGTCAATACGTGCTGAGTTTCTCACCTGGTGGGATTTGGCAGGAATTGACAGCAAATACAGTCATAGAAGAAAGGATGCAGCTGATCTTCAGCTTGTTCAGATCTACCAAGACGATTGCCAGAGCTGCTGAACAGCAAAGGGGATTGTACTCTTTGGGCAGAGGTAGCTGCCAGAGGTCACTGTATGTGGAGAGAGACATTAGGCCCATTAGGTATTCAGCTCCACTTTGTCGAAGCATTCCCCTGTCAAAATGAGCCGCAAATCGACCCTGTTTCGAACACTGCGGATCATCGCACACGGCGCCACGAGCGAAGAAGTTTGACCGTATGTTTTTCACACCTGCAAGTAAAATACTTGATCAAAGTAACACCACGGATAGGACATGCTTGAAGCTTTGCTCATATCACATTTGAGAGATTCGTGGCCGGCCACCGCCCTTGCAGGCCAGGAGCTAGTAAAATGCCACGCACTGGTGCAACGTGAGGAGGTAGACATTCTGACTCGTAGTATTCTGCTACGGTGGTGAGACTGGCAAACAAGGCCGGCAGCACCAATGAATGACCTCAAAGAAACCAATTCGTAAAGCAGGGTGGCGGCGGCTGGAGCCTCTTGCAAAGTAACTAGTTAGTGTTGATAAGAAAAAGACATGGATGGTCTTCATTGCGGGGTCCAAATCCTGCAATGAACCCTTGGTGCAGGAAGCTGAAGAATCAGCAAGTCAGTATCCAACAAAAGACTTGACTCATGACAAAGACCGGACCAGGATCCGGCAAAGGGCAACCTAGTAGACCTCCTGTCAGGATGGGACAAGTGTAAGGTTTATTCTAGTTACAGTTTATGATGGGAACTGGGCAGTTTATTTTGAAGCAAGTGGAACATGCATCAAGAACGGCTGCACTGCGACAGTCCCAAGTAAGATAGCTCTAACTTGAGACCCACCCTGAGACCTGAGACTTGAATGCTTGAGATTATCGACCAGATTGTTGAGATAACAGACAAACACGGAACAACAAGACCTCTTGAGAAACTGCGTAAATGTACCCTTCCAAAATGTACCCTTCCTCATCGGGGGAAGCTTGATTTTGAAGCTTTCGCTCTTGTCCGCACAGACATTGGAAAGGAGCATGAAGTAATTCCTCAGAGTCTTCTTCACTTCACAACACTGGATAGCGTTTTGGACTTAGACTTTGCTTCTAACATAGACTTCAGTTTGGACGGGCCTGCAATCTCATCATTTGGATTCCACGTGCTCGTTCACACGCAAGCTGATTTGTCCGGTTGAACAGATGTTGAGATTTAAAAACAGACGCAGGGAGGGTAAATTGTGCACTGAAGAAGCGGATGTGTCAAGACCTCCTTGCCTTCTTGCACTCACCTTTGAACAGCACCGGCATTCGAGGCAGTTGGTGTCGCGGACTGAATGGTGTGGGGATCTCCCATTGCCAAGCTGCAAACTGTCTAGCCCCTTTTACACGCAGATTCGGTTAGCTGCAAGCTGTTTAGCAAATTTTAGACATTTTAAGACTACCTGGAGCTAGGCGATGTCCTCAAATAGCTCTCTTGCAACAACAAAAAACTTAGAGCCAGGACGGTGCAGCACTGGACCTCTTACAGACGGTTGCAAGCCCCAATGCCTACGAGTATAGAATCTTTCCGAGCTGTCGTTTCCCTGACATGCAGGCACCAGCACGCAGAGAAAGTATTTGATAGGCATCCTGCAACGTAATTGCTTTCTTTGCTCAGCTCAAGAGTTGTAAAAAAAAAATCCCTGCCAAAGGAACGGTTTCTCCAATACAAAAACGGTTGAACACCAATCAAGGCACCAAGGCGGTGTTCGCAAGACATCCACACCACACTGGCAAGATGAAAACTGGCAGAATTCAGTGGAACAATTCCTTTGAAGCTGGATACATCGGGCGTCCAAAACGAGCCTAGGATGCGCCGGTTAAGAGGTTAAGAGTAAAGAGAGACTGAAAGAGCCAGACAAATGAAATTGGAAGCATACTTTATTGGAGAATGAGATTTGGTTCGACAAAACGGCTTGCAATGTGAACAGGCTAAATCTTTGTGATTCTGGCTAGCTGCAAACGTATTGCCTTGAACAAGCTTCCCTTTGAAAGAGCACCCATAAAGTCAACATCGACCCTCTCTCATGTGAATCAATGCCATTACTCATGCTAACTACGTAACGGCGACGAGGGTTGCGCATTAATGCTTTTCAAGACCACAGTCCAGTAGAGAAATATATGGGCTTTTGCGTGGGCCTCCTGTTCCATCCCGGGCTCATTCTGGCACACTGCTAACTCAACCAGTGGCTGTTCTTCCAAGTCTGTATGGAGCATTTCAAGCAATTGAATGCTCCCATGGCGTTGCTTTAACTACTGCTAGAGCTGCTAGATAGGACTTTGGGGCAGGTCAAGCAGTAAAGTTGCTGCTGTCCGCAGCATCCCAAAGCATTGACTTGGAGCCTAGGATACGTTGATTCACGGGATGGATTTCATGCAAATGGATTGCATGCAGCATGCACAGGAGCCATTTTTTCCCGTTCGAGTCCGTTTGCAAGAAAGGAATTGCATGCTGTCGGTTACACAGTTACAG